AAAGCCTGATGTGGGGCCAGAAGCCTGGGTGGCTCGGTCAGTTAAGCATCCGACTTCGGCTCAGGTCATGATCTCTGCAGGTCTGTGAGTTAGAGCCCCCGCAGCCATGATCGGTCTCTGCTGACCGCCATCAGAGCCTGGAGCCTGTTTCGGATTCTGTGTCTCCCTCTCTCTCTGCCCCTCCCCTGTTCATGCTCTGCCTCTCTCTGTCTCAAAAATAAATAAACGTTAAAAAAAATTAAAAAAAAAAAACAAAGCCTGATGTGGGGCTCGAACACAGGGGCTCAAATTCAGGAGCCGTGAGAACACGACCTGCGCTGAAGTCCAACGCTTAACCGACTGAGCCACCCAGGTGCCCCTCCTCTGCTTATTAAAATAGTAAATTAAGCACCAAGTGAAAAGAAAGTCCACAAATAGACACAAAAATATATAAAAGTTTACCATTTGATAAAGGTAATATTTCAAACCACAGGGTAGAAAGGATAGATAATTCAATAAATGTTAGGACAACTAGCTAACCATCCTGAAAGAAAAAGATGACTATTTTATCCCTTTTTTGAAATTAATTCCAGGTGGATTAATAAATTAAATGTAAAAAATATTTTTATAATCTTAAGAGGAAAGGCTTCCTAAGGAAAAGAGTGATAGAACTGGCTACACAAGAATTTAAAACTTTTGTAAAGAACCAAAAGAAATAAAAAATTGTGGGGGGGGGGAAGTAATGTGCTAACACAGGGGCTGTATTAGTTTCTAGCACAACATTGCAAAATAGCTTAAAACAACAGGCATCTATCATCTCACAGTTCTGGAGCCTTAAAAGTCAAAACCAATCTGCAGTACACACATCTCAAGCCTGTAGAAGAGAATCTGTTCCATGCCTTTCTCTTAGTTTCTGGGGGGGGGGGGAAGTAATGTGTATAACACAGGGGGCTGTATTAGTTTCCTAGCACAAATTACTGCAAAATAGCTTAAAACAACAGGCATCTATCATCTCACAGTTCTGGAGCCTTAAAAGTCAAAACCAATCTGCAGTGCCACGCTCTCTCGAAGCCTGTAGAAGAGAATCTGTTCCATGCCTTTCTCTTAGTTTCTGGTGTCACCAGCAATCCTTGGTATTCCTTGATTTGCAGCTTCAACTCCCATCTTTGTTTCTATTGTCACATGGTGTTCTTCCTCTATCCTCATGTCTTCTTATAAGGACACCAGTCATATTAGATTAGTAAGGGCCCACCCTACTCTGTATGGCCTCATCTTCAATTACTACATCTGCAATGGCCCTATTTCCCAATAAGGTCACATTTTGTAGTGGTGGTTAGGCCTTTGACATATCTTTTTGAAGGACCCAATTCAACCCATAACAAGTCTTTAGTATGTAAGGAAAATTTACAAATAACACCCCAATAGGAGAAGAACAGGTAATCTTCATGCACACAATCTCTCTCTATATATATACCCAATACACCACCAATAAACATGTTCAAAGTGTCCAGCTCTACTACATGCTGAGCACACTCTCTGATCTCCAACCTCACTAGCTGCTCCTCCTCCCCTTACCTTCATCTGAGGTAGACGCTGTGTGTGCCCTAGGGCTACGTCCAGGATGCTCTTCTTGTTGAGTCTTAGCCTAGATGATCTCATCCAGGTCAAGGACTTTACTACGACCTATGTGTCAATGACATCAAATTTGTGTCCCTAGTCAGACCTTCTCCCCTGGCCTCCAAACTCAGTACAAACAACATACCTTGTATCTCCAGCTGGCTATTCTATAAGCATCTTTTAACGCCTTCAAAACAGAACTCTTGAATCTTTCCTCCAATCCTGTTCTTCAAGTCTCCATTTCAATGAATGATACCAACATACATCTAGTTGCTCAGGCCAAAACCAGAGCTTCATTCTTGATTCCTCCTTTTCTTTTCATTGTCCACATCCAAGTTACCAAGACTCGTTGATTCTACTTCCTATCTTCCAATGTCCCAAATCCTTCCAGTATCCCAGGCTATTCCAAGCTACAATTATTTTTGGTTTAGACTACTGCAGCAACCTCTTAAACTGGTCTCCCTGATTCCGCTATGGTCTCCTTTCAGGAAGGTGACTATACTCCTGGTTTGTTTGGGACAGTTCTAGTTTTCACCTGTTGTTTGACATCCCCTCCAGTTAGCACCCCCTTTCATTTGCAAAAGGATTCCCACTTGGATGATAAATTACACGGTCACCTTACTGTACAGTATTATCTTCTCACAGTAGCTAAAACTACTTTTTAAATCTTTTCTTTTTTTTTTTAATGTTTATTTATTTTTGAAAGAGTAGACAGAGCATGAGTGGGGGAAAAGCAGAGAGAGAGGGTGAAACACAGAATCTGAAGCACGCTCCAGGCTCTGAGCTGTCAGCACAGAGCCTGACACGGGGCTTGAACCCACGAACCGTGAGATCGTGACCTGAGCCAAAGTTGGACACTTAACTGACTGAGCCACCAAGGCACCCCTAAAACCATCTTTTAAAAATGCAAATGAGATCATGTCATTCCCCTGCCTAAAACCCTTCAAAGATTTCTTATTACATAAGGATAAAATTGGAACTCCTTATTGTGGTCTACAAGACCCTATATGACCTAGCCCACTACTTCTCATCTCTTCAGACTGCGTCTTCCATTCATTACCTTCCAGCCCCACTGGCCTTTCAATTCCTCCAATTAGTCATACCATTTCCACTTCCAAGTCTTTGTTTTTGCCACACCCATTGCTGCTACCTTAGATCTTCTCATAACAAATCTATTCTGTCATTTTTTTCTCAGATCAAATATTAACTCTTCAGAGAGACCTTCTTTGAAAATACAATTTAATGTTCCCAACACCACCTGTTACTATTACATTGTTCACTTATTTTCTGGTTGTTTATTGCTTATATTTCCCCAACAGAATATCAGCTCATTGTTAACTTGTTTACTTCTGGTCCCCAGGGTCAGAGCATGTGCTCAATAAGTATTTATTGAAAGAATGAATCACAACCAAAGAAAAAAATTAAAACCATGACAGCTCATAGAATTTGGCTACCAAATCAACAAATATTTAAATGAACAAAAATGCCTATTTTTATTTCTAACACTCTGTATCATCTGACATTACATTTATGTGACTGTTTATTGTTTGTTTCCCCTTGACTAAAATAGAACCTCCACAAGGGCAGGGACTTGTTCACAGCTGTATTGTTAGCACCTACAAGTGCCTTGCATATAGTAAGTGTTCAGTAAATGTTTACCAAATAAATTGACAATATCTAGGAGTGACTGGGTAGTGGAGAAAAGGGTATGGTGAGAATATAATTGGTGCACAATTTCTGTAGGAAATCTGGCAATATATATCAAAAGCTCTCAAAGGGGGCATACCTTTTGACTTCATACTCTCACTTCTAAGAGGAACTCATCCTAAAGAAGCAAATAAACAAGGGTACAAAGATTATTTGTGAGGGACTTTACACTGGGTTGTTTATGACAGAGAAAATTTGTAAATGTCAGCATGATATCCATTAATAGGAGATCATAAATAGAATTACAAATCTATACAATGAAACACATTAAAAATATTGGAGAGACATGTATTTATTGGTGCAAGAGACAAAAAGTGTATTAAGAGAAAAGGTGGGGCACCTGGGTGGCTCAGGCAATTAAGCATCTGACTCTTGATTTTGGCTCAGGTTTTATCTCATGGTTCGTGAACTCAAGCCTTGTGTTGCTTGGGATTCTCTCTCTTAAATAATAAATAAACATTAAAAAAGAGAGAGAAAAAGGCAAGCTAAAAAAACCCCCACATGTATAGTGGAATTTCATTTTTGCAAAAACATACATGGGGAAGACACGAGGGTCTGTATGAATGCACACTGGCATTTACAGATAAAGTTTAGATGGACATACTTCAAAATATCAACACTGGTTATCTCTGGATGGTGAGATTAAGGACAGTTTTAATTTTCTTCTACATACATTTCTAAAGTTTTTGTAATTAGGTCAACATTCTGCTTTTGTAAGTGGCAAACAAAAAGTAGTATTATGGAAAACACAGACCCGCTTCATAAACTTAGTGAAGACTAAAGCCCAGGTTAAGAACCAGGAGTTCAGAAATGTCAACTTCAGTATTGGAAATAGTTTTCTGATTTCCTGAATTCAAGCAAGTTGTTTCCCCTCAGTCAATATTTGTAAAAAAAAAAAAGAAAGAAAGAAAGAAAGAAAAAATAAATAAAACTTGTTTCTTTTATTTCATCGCCTGCCACGCTTGAGAAGGTCAGGCCTGGTTGAGAAAAAATACAAAGTGTAGCAAAAGCGATCATCTATGCTAGGCATTTTCCTTGTGTTGCCTTATTAAAACCCCCCTTATGATCCTGTCAGGTAGGTATCAATGTTCTCAAGCGCAAAAGCTGAGAGAGGTGACAGAATTTGCCAAAACTCTCAGTGCTGCTATACGGGGTGGGGGTTCCTGATTTGAAGAGAGGTCTCTCTGACCTCAGGGCCTTCAGGCGAAAGCTAGACAAAAGCGTTTTAGGCTTTAACCTTGCAAGTCTCTTAACGCATCTGATCTCTGACATGGTTATCCTACTGCCCTATTTAATTTGCAACAACCATAAAAAGAGACCAAGCCTGGAGTTTTAAAGGAAACTGGAGTAAATATATGGAGAGGCAAGATTTACATTGGGTACTATTCTCTGGAATGTGCCCTTCATTTCTCTTCAACTCAGAAGGCTCAGAATGAAAAGGCTTGGTTGGGCGGTCACGGGGGAGGGGAGCAGTTTGAGAGAGCACCCACGTTTGTGTGTGAAGGGCCACAAGAGACACCACAGACGAAGGATGACATCTGAGCACTTAAAGAGAGGAGCTGGACGAAGATGAGGGAAGATGGACGACACCTGGAAGGAAAGGGGGCTTGAGACCAGGGGCAACGGGAACGAGGAAGAACTGGAAGGAAAGGCAGCTGTGAGTTATCCTGAGGCCACTTCTTCCTTCCACCTTTTTTCTCCCTCTCGTCTTTTCCTTGCTTATCTCGGTCACGATTAGGCCTTCAGCACTCTTTTCTATTTGGGTGATTACCAAACCTCTCCAGTCCTGACTTTTCTCCAGAGTTCAACTCCTCCTGAGGTCCCAACTGAAGGCGGCATCCCTTCCACCTCAAGCCTGCTCCTACTCATGTACTCACTTATCAAACATCCATTAGAACTGCTCTTTCTCCTCTGTTCCTTCAGCCATTCTTTCACCCAACAAACATTTATTGTGGGTCTACGTCCTTCACACCGCCACGGCACTGGGGCTACCCCATGCACTTACCACGTTGGGTCACTTCTCCTCTGAAATCTTGTCTGTCCATCCCCTCTAAGTTCTTTACTGAGAATCCTGCATGCTTGAACCTGGGCCACACGGGACTAGACGTTAACTGGTCTGGCATGCCATTCATTTTGTAGCGACCACTTCGCATTTAGCACTATACCTGGGGCACAGAAGGGGCTGGCAGTGGAGGCGTAGGGACTACAAACTGGCTGGGACCGGAGGAGCAGAAGCTAGGAGATTTGCCTCGAAGGAGTATTTGCATATGAAGAAAGGTGTCTTCCTTAACCTGTAGGTTACAGACCTATACCAGCCAGAGAATTCTTTTATTTCTGGGGTGTGTCCGTGGGAAGCTGGGAAGACGGCTGGAAGTCTGATGTTGAGAGTCTTCTGATAGAAAGCCTGTCCACCTCCCACTCCTGGAGTACTCAACAGTCACTTGTTGAATACATCACCTTCTGTGAGAGAGGTCACGGACATTGTGTTCTCCACTGTATCCCCAGCGCCTAGCACATCTAGCCCACATTAGGGGTTCCGTAAATACCTGTGGAGGATTCTAGAAAGGCAGGGACCATAGATATCTCATTCACCACCTCAGGACGAAGGACAAAGACTAAAGACTAAGGAGCCTGAAGGAAAAAGGGAGCAAGACGTTTCCCTCCCTATTCCTTTAGAGCTGGGTAAATGTTTGCTAAGCGAAATAAATCGCCCTCCTGCACTACTCCAAAATCGGGCCCCTCGCTCGGCTGCCAGGCCCTGGAGCGCGGCCACCATCTGGCTCAAGCTCAGGCCCGCGCTTCCCTCCCTCCCAGCCCGGGCTCCTGTTACCTCCCTGCACACATCTGTACCCACCACAGGCCAAACAATTACACGCTCCCGCGTCCCTGCCTCGAGATCCCCCAGGACCACGTCCCCCCAGCTCCCCGCCCCCACCCGGGCTCCAGGGAAGCCGGCGGCCGGGCCTCACACCGCCGCTTGCAGCCGGCTCCCGCACCCCCCGCCACAGGCGCGCCAGGCCGCCGTCCATGTGCTCGGCCGCCGTTGCCAGTCCCGGCCCGCTGAGGCTGCAGCGCGGAGCCCGGGAGGCCCGGCGGCCGCGGCCCGGGCCCGCCGCGCTCCTCAGGGCGGGAAAGGTCGGCAAGCGGCGAGGCGGGAAGCGGCTGAAGCTGTGAGGCACCAGGGGGCGGGAGGCGGTGGCGCGGGGGGACCAGCGGGCCGAGCCGGGGGTGCGAGGATGCGCAGCCCGAGCGGGGGCAGCGCTCCGGCCTCGGCGGGGCTGGAAGAGCGGCGGCTTGCTCACTCACCACGGTCCGGCGGGGCAGAGCGCCGGGGGTTCGGGACAGGGCCCGGCGGAGCCTCCGCGCCCTGCCCGAGCGGGCCCCC